ACAACCTCCCAAGACAGGCTGGTCCCTTTCACACGACAGCACAAGGATGCACTCGAATGCACGCTCGACACAAACGTAAAACGCAAACAACCTGCTGATCAGGGTACTAGGCTACGGGAGGGCATTCTATACGGTGTGTTTTTTTTGCTCTGCGTCGATTTTTCGGAGAATTTCTCATCTGCAATTATCCCGTCCCGTATCAAGTCAATTACTCATATTACTCTTCATTTGCGATCGGAAATATTGTCTCAGCATTTCTCTTAGTTTTTTATAAAGCTGTGAAGTGTGGCCGGATGCTGCACTTGACGTACACTTCCCTAAATTTGCACTTAATTCTAATGAAGGCCTAATGAGTTCCATCTCCCGACAGGAGCGGTCTGAGTATATAGGACGATGCGTGGGTTGGGACCGCAGCGACAAATCGAAAACGGCGACGACGTAGCGGCAGAGTGTATCTAAACGAGGAATCGTCCGTTTGTTTCATATTCAAACCTCTGGGCTTGGTTGTTTCACGTGAGGAGTGAAATATAGAAAAGAAGTAAAGATAATATACTGTAATTCCAGTGCATTTTCACCACCAAATAAAAGTTTCACGTATTAAAGTGAACATGCTTCCAAACTCATTTGAAAAGTTTAATGCTAGTCTTTAGCATTAGTTTGTAATACCTCCGTGTGATTTAACCATACTGCAAGATTTTAGATTTGTACCTTCATTTAATATTATTAGCTGGGTGAGGCTTGCAGTTGATGACTCATATTAACATTTACACCCTGTGACTTTTAAAAATGTGGGTTCAATTTAACCCAATACTGAAGCACGAGAAGTATGGGCCTTGAGCTGGACGAAGAGAGGGTGCAGTTTTTTCTTAAGCAATGGAGGCTCCGTTGGTCGGAACCACTAATCTTTGGTCGGAACTGAACTTCGCTGGTTCACGAACGACTAGGAAATGCACGCGTCACGGTCGCATCGCAAATTAACATCCCGACAATTGAGGCTCTTTTCAACCGATGAGGGGGCGCTTCTGCTCGAGGCAGACAGAGACTTGTTACCAAAACGATACAAAAACTAGGCTATAGGTGTCAAAACGATACAAAAACTATTTTCAATCAGACAGAATCAGACGTTACTATTTCTGTTACCGCCTGTTACCGATAGACGCGTTTTTAATGCGCGTCGGGGTCCGTCAGGGTTAGAAGGGGCGGATCAAGGAAGATTTCCGGGGGGGGTCTCAGATACTTTGTTTAAAGGCTCGGCTATTGCGGACATTGACACATGACTGTTGCATTATTACACTGTAACCGATTACAGATAATAAACCTTACAGAATGTCATCTATTTATCCTTCTTGGTAGAATGTCATCTATCCATCCTTCTTGGTGGAGGGTTGGGGGTTGCAATGACCCCAACCTTTTCCCCATGGATCCACACGTTGCGCCAAGCGTTGCGTATCTGTCAAAATCGCTCCCAGGACGATTTTGACGGCCGAACGCAACGCACACGTGTGCTATGTTAATGGAAATCGATTTCTGTTTCCCTGAAAGTGACACGTATGAATGCATCGTGTACGCAACGCACTCAAAAAACGTACATGCACATAAATGGAAAGGGTAAAACAATTTTGACGGATAGTGCTGAGCGCATAAGGAAAGACGTCTTTAAGTAGCGGTATGAGAATACGCACACGAAACGGAAAATAAAACGAATCGAAAGGCACCCTGAAGGCCGATTCCTACTTGGTGCGAAAGCAATTACGGACGCGACATTGTGACGTCAGATCAATATTGATATTCGTGCTGCGAATTCGCAACAGTTTAACACGTTGCAACTCGAGCAAATTTGGCGCAAACGTTTCGTGAAATCAAGTTTCCCTTACACGTTTGCCCGAAGTATGAACCGGCCCTCGCGCAGGAAAGCAACTCATACAAACCCCCAAAATATGACAACAACGTCGACCCCCCTTAAGATTCTTATGGGTAAGATGTTGGCGCCGATGGACTCCGAGCAAATTGGCTATGGGATGATTGGAAAGTAAGACGAAGATCACGAGTCTCTGGCAAAGGTTAAGAGTGCAAGGATAAGGAAATGTAATGCTTAATCACTGTTTCCCTTTTGTTTTCACTTCAAGTATATAGCATCACCTCTGTCCCACTCGCTGTTTCTTCATTTCACCGCCATCCACCATCAATGATCACGGCAGTGACAGTGAAATTGGTCAGGTGACGTATCGAGCTGGACTGAACACACCTGTTTGATTTGCTTGATCATATACTGTTCCCGCGAAATTTCAAAGTAAAGGAGGCTTAAAACTATTGCTTCTGACGTTGATTTAGCAGGTTTTCCTTTCGTGAGTGCATGGCAAGTTGGTGCCACGAGCATTTCGCGTTAATAGAACACGCCATTATGAGTAGTAGGCTATCCTTGAGTTAGGTAAGCATCGCGCTTACTCTGTCCCAGTTGGCAATTTTCCAGTGAGAAAAGTGCAGCGGTGCGCTGGAGAGCCGCCAAGAGTCGTTGGTATTCCGGAAACGACGGATGCAATCGCACCCCTCCCCTCGACGGGAACGTGCACGGCACGGGATATAGCCTGAGGGTACCGACCAGTTCAGCTAACCGGTATCGTGTCGGTGATTTACCTTTTACTATACCGTGGAAAAAATTAGCAAAAAACGACGCCGTTCAACATGCGAGCATACACATCCATTATAATTATGTTCAGAAATTGACAACGTGAAACTATTTCGAAACATGCCCGTCTCATTTTTATGATCAATGAGAATCCGCAAAGCCGATGAACGAATTCAATGTCCGGTTGTGTTATGTAAGGTTATTTAGGCAGACAATTAGGTGTAAACAGGGGTTTCCCCAGTCTTCAAACGGTCTTCTAAGGTCTTCAAACGTTAAATTAACTCATGCGTTCACAGTGTAATAAGAAAAACGCAAATCTCCAACTAATTAACAGAAACACTCCAGTGTCATTATTTCAAAATTTAAGGGACCATGTCATATTATTATTTTGTGTAAACTGATTTTATTTTCCACTTTTGGTTTGCTTTTTGAATCTGTATCTTTTTGGTTATGGTAATGAAAGTTTGCATAGGCCCTATTCATGTGCAAAACTGTGACGTTGCACTAATTTATGCGCAAGAAACAGCTGGATTTCTTGTATTTATCACTGCAATTTCCGTTTATTTGCACTTAATTGTTGTGTAACTAAATATGCACACATATGCACAAATTTGGCGGAAAAAATTTGAACGTAAATATAAGTAAAGTAAAACGAACAGATTCTTTCGGATTTATATCATAGATACACTGAGCGCCCTCACTCTTTTGGTAAAGCTTGGAGAATTTGTTCGAAAATGTTTTAAAAAGTGCACTTCCAAAACACCTAACTCCAAACGAATTTTAAAAAGTTTTGACACATTTAAAAAGAGTATATAGATCCATAAAAAAAGTGAGTCAGGGAAAACAATCATAAATGGTTCCTTTAATTCATTTCGACTAAAATATCTTTGACTCCTCCAATAATAATAAAACCGGAAATTGTGATATACCTGGCCTAACATGGTGGTTGTCGCTTATCAGATTCGACGTATATTAATGAGACTTCGTGGACCCATTTATTATCAAAAGTTGACCGTTATCATAAAACGGATACCAAAGTAACGTGTGCTTATTAAATCCCCATCGGGGGTTCAGAATGGTGTTCCATGGTCTGCGTGAGTCTCGAAGCCCAAATACAGCTACGAAAAAGCACCAATTCTACCCTCCGCCTAAAGAGCAATATCTGGCCCCTCCCCTAAACAGAGAGCACAGCAGAGGTTTTTCGCAAGGTCTCCAGCGATGCTGCTCAAAAAGATATACAGCTGTATGTTGAGCATTCAACCCAGTGTTTCTCAGTGCCCTCCACACTCCCTCAATGAACTCGTTTCAGGCAGAACCGAGAGTCTTTGGAAGTATTTAAGATCCCACTGCATGTATAAAGATACCCAAGTTTTCCAGGTCATGTTTAAAGTGGGCTTGGAGAAAAAAAAGGTTTGTGCGTGCTATCTCATACTCGCTTATGAGCAGGAAAATTGACGACTATTTTGCCTGAATGTAGAAACAACATGGGCGCAGATCACTGTTCCGTCGCAGGGCTTGTAATATTACCTCCCCCCCGCACGGAGTCTATGCGTCCAGCATAATATGTTTCCCTCTTCGCCGTTGATTTCAACGACAGTCAACGGTGAAGAAAGGTGGAGACGTCTCTAGTTTTTAAGAGACTTCGTTGGAACTTTCAGAATTTTATTTTCAAGCTTGGACATGCACTCGGCTGGAAACATTTAGAGTATACTATATTTATCTAAAGCATAAAAGCCTGTGATATTAAAGCAATCGGGAAAATGAACTAGCTTAAACCCCTGAGGTCCTCAGTACATGTAGAGTGACAAAGTGTGCTGTAACGATAAAGAACATGCAAGCAACTAGAATTCCAATTTATTCCGTATCTTACAATACGAACATTCGGTGGAAAGAATGTTCGAAAGCGTGGATTTAATTTTCGGCCCGGAAATTCCTCAAAATAATTACAGCTAGTTCCTGACAATGCAGGAGGCCGGTTGTTTACATCCAAAGCTTTTTACAGCCAACATCGCTATTGAGTTATGACTATGTTCACAGCGTAAACATTCAGGGCAACCTTGCGAATGATTGGGCGTGTTGCTCGTTAAGCTCATGCGCTGCTGGTGAATGTACGTCATTATTTATTCATAGCTCCTTTTCGTGGGAATGTTCCTGCTGTCTGATCCTTGGTAATCGTCCAGGCGACGGTCCCAGTGGCCAAATTACTGATGTCGTCTCCATCGTCTGACTTGAAGGGATGGAAAGTTCACCTCAGCTATTTGTTTGGCAGCCTGCCAAAGTCTTCGCTTACGCAGACAGTCACTGACTGAACGATGTGGCCTTCTGGTGAACGTACGATGCGGACGATTAGATTTCCCTACGGGTAGTGTTTACATTCTCGAACGGAGGGACGGTATCATACAAAAGGGGAACAGTTTTAAGAATTGCCAATTTAGTGTATGATAAAACTTATCTCTGACAAAGACAGTTTCACTCATACGTCGCTAATATTGAAATTAGCACAGATCACACCCAAAATGTACCTCGATTTACTTTGATTTTTTTGAAAGGCTCCTGTGATGTTTTGCTCATGAACTAGCCCATTTCCCGCTACCGATGGCGATCTTTGATTGGTTCTCCCCTAGTTCATTGACAGAGGTGTTTTACTATTCTGTTTGTAAACGCCGGGTACACGTGCGCGCCCGGAGCCGGCGACTTTCTCACCTGCATAAATAAGGAAGCCCGGTGCGGCACTAAGGTAGTCTGGAAAACGGCGACAACGGAAGTGGTCCGGAAGAGGCACAGTGCTTTTCCTTGACATCATTTCAACCACGTCCGAGGCTTGCTTGTCTGTTTTTGAGCAATTTTGCAACAGTGGAAATTGGTTGTTTTGTCTCGTCGTCCGAAGGCAAGGTCCGCCCAAAGTGATCTGAGTCGCGAAGCTCTGCAGCTGTCAGCTTATAGACCGCCCTTTCACGTAAGTCTAACCCTTTTCACCTAATAAATATGTCGTAAAGGTTTATACAGTTGGAAAAAAATGGGATCTCAGCCTTGTGGTTTTTGGCTAATAATCACAGCCTTCTGCATCACGTTCGAAGATCTGTTTGACCAACATTTCCAGCCTATCAGAAGTCCATCACGAGTGAAACCACAGGTCAAAATTTACCAGTCTGGTCAGGGATGACTGGGATGAAGGGTTCCTCTACTCGATTGCAGACCTGGCGAACTTGTGAGGATGTCTTGACACAAATACACAAAAAGCGTTCTCTACCCAGATTCTCCACCAGAATGAACCGATCGTACATTTTTCCCCTCTGCATAAATTCACGCAGTCCAGATTTTTAAGTTGCTTGCAATGCTGTGTAACATCCTTCAAGTTGACAGGATCACGGCCAGAGATTGACCGTGCCTAGCTATGAGTAGCGACAGAACACAAAGTACATGTAGGAATTTTGTCACCTTTTCCACCACTAGCAGTGTAGTCTTTATCCCAGACCGCAATTTTCGCGATCCCCAAGCCCCATGGTTCAACAGACACCTATAGGAGGAGTAGGGAATGCTGATCAGCCTCAATAAGCACGGGTAGATACAGAACTCTGCAGCCTGTGGCGAATGAGCATGAAGATCAGTTCCCACCCTCCAGCAGGGTCTACTGAACTCTAGGGCCAAAGGGTATAGAGCGCAAGTTCTGTTGCACGTGAGAGCGCGAAACCCGTCGAAGTAGTTAACCGCAGAGCTGCAGGTAGATTAGTTGCCACGGTTACCCACCAATAACCCCTTGTGGGGCCAGACGTTGCATTAGTGGGTCTGAAACGCGAGTAGGGCGGAAAAGTCGTTTCTGTGTATTATTTTGCTTTTTAAATATGCCATTTGGGGCAAGTTGGGTCACTACTGCATACATGGCAAAATTCAGTATAACGTATTCGATTTGTCCCAACATCCTTAGTTTTTGTTATCAAGAACGTGGGAGTATCGCTTGCCGTATAATTAGCCTCAATATCAGCCGCTAGCTTTCAACCTGGCAATTGAACAAATATTGAAACCAAATATTTTAAGGTACAACAAGATTGCAAATACGACAAAAAGCAGATGTCTCCGTATATAGTGGAATTTACATGGGCAGCATTCTTACCTTGTTATATTTCTTCTGACGTCTATTTTGAGAAGGTTTTCATGAGGTGTTGCTAGTCTTAGTTCTACGTGTCGAAAACCTGAAACAAAAAAGAGTACCCGCGCACTTTTAGGTATTATAAGAAAATGTGACGCGATACCCATGTTTTGTCTTACACCGTGGAATTCCAACCGATCAGATAAACAGCCATCACCTGACAGTGCCTCCCGATCCCCACAATGCATACAATATTTTCCCGTGCAGAGCATTTCGTTTGATCATTGTCGCGAAGCACGGATACCAAGTGATGAACCACTGATCAATTCACCACTGATGTGATTTCTAATTAAAAACAGGCTCGAAATTTGGAATTTTGTGAAAGCTTGCTTTCGAAGAATTATCGCAACGAGAAATGGCTTAGTTTCTATGTACGAAGGGAATGAAGAGGATTTGTGGGCGCTTTTATCCAATACCAGTCAAGCTTGAGAGCTTCCTTTTAGCCCCCTCCCCAAAAGGTAAAAGCAAAACAAAAGAAAAAAATTCCGATGTTTTCGGAAAACCGTGAAAGTGAAAATCTGTTGAATATTTTGCAAGGGCGTCCACTCGTTTTATTGTAGCACCTGCTACGGGAAAATATTTGTGTCGAACGAATTCGAACAAGCGTGTTTGTTTCTGTAAAGTCCATGGGCAAATCACTTCAGTGCCGACTGCTTCGTAATCAGTACTTCATTCTTTCTTTTACAACCACAGCAGATTGTCAGACTGCGATACATTCCGACACTATGCTGTCGATACACCTCCCTGGTAACAATGCCACGCCCCTCTTTGTCCTACTGGCCTGCTGTTTAAGCGTGGCCTGCACAGGCGCAATACCCTTGAACTACAAGGGACCGGACGCCGACCCGCAGCCCTCCAAGGCACACGGCGACCGCCCGACAACGCGGGCAGAGGTCGACGTCGACCAGTCTCGGCAGAAGACGGTGTTGGTGAAAGGCGAGAGAATGCAGGAAGTACCTGCCGAGGTATCTGGCTGGGTCTCAGACAACGGAACGGTTAGTAGTACTTTTTTCGCTGCCCATCTTTTTTTCCCCTTTGTTCCTGAAGGTTATCCACAGGCTAAGACCGAGATAAGAGGGCATCACCCCATTTTAGATTGTCTGAAGAATTCCGAGGCAGATGGGACTACAGATAATAATTGGGAAAAAAAGAGCTATCGATCTGAGATAACATCAATACTGAAATATCTAGGTAACCCGGTCAGCCTGCAGACAGTAATTATTTGGGGGAATTCTCAACACTCTCAACATACCGGTAGGTTATTATTTGGTACCAACAGCTTAAGTGCTTCTTTTTGACTACACAAAACAGCAAAGAGTTAGTTCTTGTTTGTGTTATTACATGTTGGCCAAGAGCGTGTAATAAATCAGAGATGTTAAATTAATTACAATATTAATCAATTAGAATGGCTGAATTTAAAAAAAAATGTCAGTCGTATGCCAGAATAAATAAATTATAGTTTGGGAAGCAGAGGAAAATGTTTTGAAAATCATTCAGTATTGTAAAAACAATAATGCATAATGATTATTGTTAGATCTTAATTTTTCTAAGTTGTTTCCCTTTTTCGTGTTACGCAGGTGAGCCAACAGCGCATGGTAAAACGATCCGCCTCCTCGGGCAGATACTGTCAGGTTGAGGAGGTTGTGGTGATCCAGCACGACGGGCAGTGTATCCAGGTTGGTACCATGTCGGCCTGCGAGACGAGCACCTTCTTGGACCTTGGGAACGCCCACTGCACCACTACGCGATAGCACCATCAGCGACGACGGCAGCACCCTTTTTTTTGTTAGCCTATCGCCCATCCCCAGCTGTACTGGTGTTGGGCCAACACTGAATCGGCAGACTAGTGCAAAATCAGCCAGTTTAAAGTTGTAGCATGTTGTTTAAAAGAAAACATACACAAACTGTCAAGGTTTGCACTGTTGACAATGATAACTGTGTTTTGAATTACAGATTGTTTGCATTGATGTCATATATTATGTCCTGGCCCCCTCTTTGCCAGGTTTGAAATCCTAGACGTTGATGGCTACGGCTTTATCATTTTAATCATGGTGTATTGCTCAAATTACACAAATTTGTAGCCATAGCCGGAGAATTCCCGCTTCAGACACGGCTGCAGGAGAGATGGCGATCCACTGAGAATTGTGGGAGATGTGACGTGCAGTGCAAAGGATGTACTTGATGCAACGAAATGAAATGACGTTAAAACAATGGTTATATTGCATGCAAACAACACACGCTTGCAAAAAGTCCTAATCATTTGTATTCTGGTCGCGATTTTGGATACAATTATACGGCATTCCTGACTGTAACCAGCTGACTTCTTGAAAAACACATACTGTAATATAAACAACCTGCACTATTTATTCCGTATTGTACGCGTTTATTATGTATATTTACTACTCTTTCGCTCGATTACAGAAGATGCATTGTAATTATTACTATATTTGTAAATATTATAAAACAAAATGGTTGTACATAAATTGGTTATGTATGATGCCTTATATAATGCTAAGGAAGTACTCCGACCTACGTTGTGTAAGGAGCGTCCCCACCCCTTTTGAACAGAGCTTTCGCGATTTGCAAGGAGTCTAAGCACCTGATGTCTCAAACTTGGTGTGCTTCTTCACAGGTTGCAAAGAGGCCTGTGTAGGAACATGATAACAATCATTACAGACGTCACCGTGGCTCTGAAAGCCCGTATGAGAGTTTGGACCTGACCTTCTAATAAGTATCAAGATAGAACTTCAATTGTCTTTATCAAAACCCTTGAGCAAGAATGCACCCTCTGTTTACCTTTCGTGAACCCCCACGTATTTGTAAATCAACAGCAATGGAACAATGCCATTTTCCCCGCGAACAAGTTGAATTCGAAGAGACGAAGTATGAGACGGCAAGGGTTTTGTCTTTTTTTTTTATAAACAAAAATACGAGACGATGGGGGAGTTATTTCATGTAGCTAAAACTGTGTTTGCTGAGCATGTACTAAGGCCTATACGCGTATAAACTGAAGGGTGTTCGCTACAGATGCGTGAAATCAACGTCCATTAAAAGTAAAACACGTAGTTACCATGCTGAATTCTCTTCAGTGCCCTGCGGTCTACTGTAAAACTTGGTGTTGTATTTATTATACAAATATGTGAATTAGAGGATGCTGCAACGGCAGATGCGATTTTAGATTGTACTCTTTATCCCGTAGACAGGAAATATTCCTCCTGAAAAATGGCAGTATTTTAAAGAAAATTCCTCGTTTTTGGTTTGCTGTTTCATTTTAATTAAAAAGTGAAAAGGTCAGAATTTCCTCCAAAAAAAGTTCTCGAACATTTCTGTCAAGCTCTTTGATCTATACAGATCTGAAGAAATATCACCAACTCTGGGACATATTTTTTGTGGGATTAAGGAAAAAAGAATGAATTCATGTCCATTTTGCAGCATGTCTTTTGACAAAGATTTCATAATAAATCTTGCTTGACATTCTTCCCTTTTATTCGCTCTAGGTAAGGCTGTGCTATATGCTAACTGAATTTATTTATCGAATTCGATTATTTATATTTTGTAATATTTATTGTTGTGAGGTGATAAATGACACAATAAATAAACTATTCAGTGATACGTAAACAGTGAACACATCTGTGCAGTAATTTAACTGAAATTTCAGAGGCGAAATTTTGATGTGGCTGAGACTGGTATATTAGAAGTGGTTCCCGAGAATGGTAAAGGATTTCGGATGGATCAGCCAGAAATAAATGCATATCACACAGCCATTTTAGTTGGTAAGATCCCATAAACATCGTGGAGTCCTATAGATTTTAGCCTGGCTTTGCTTGAACCCATCGCCGTTTAACAAGGGATTCTGGCGGCTTTTTTAAAACCAAGCTTCCAACGGAATCACTTCTGACTGCTTGACCAACAAGGACCCCTTGAGCATGGCATAATGAGAACCAGCATTACGAGGCAAGATTGTACTCATGTGAACGAATTCGCACTATGCGTAAGCACGGAAGATTATGTTCATTGATCGGGACTGAATCCCGCCCAAAATAGTTTGTATTTACCGTACACAACTTCAAAAGAAAACAAAGATGAGCAGTCCACAGTGCCGAAGAGTAGAATGGGATGTTGGATACTAGTGAAATGTGATTGATAGAGGGCGCTCAGCCAATATGGAAGATAGTCCAATCACAGATGTCACAACAGAAGCCATGGACTCGCAACGCTTTCTTGTCGACTGAAGCCACTGGCGTCCATCTTACCATGCCGAATACAAAGGTGATTGTTTACTCACATGAAACTGTAACTATTGTTGCCACGAAAGATTTGATTATCAGCGAGGAGCAAGTCTTTGCACGACCTTCGTATTTGGCACGGTAAGATGGCCGCCGGTGGATTCAATCATTTGGGTATTGCGAGTCCAGACTTTTGCGTCGCAATCAGTGATCTGTCGTTGGTTTACTGACAACGGAATCCGCTTAATGGATAGTGCAAACCTGCAGCTTTGATATCACTGATCTCGATCCAGATCCGTGTGAAACAAACAGCCCTCATATTATGTCCTTGGGTCTAATGCAATCATTTTTCGCAATGATCGAAAACATACTGTACTTACTTTGGAACCGAACGGCTCAGAGCCATCTAAACGGCTGATTTCACTTAGCCTACGATGGATTTAACTTTTATCCACTTCTTTGATTTCCTCTTACTTTAAAGCAAAGAAAGGTTGTAATTTATGTTTTCCATTTCTTACAATTTAATGACATTTTCTTCGCTAGAAAGTTGTTTTTTCTTTATCTGTGCACCTACCACTCATTAGGATATAATCATGCAATTCTGCACATAAATGGGCAAAGCAGGCGCATGCACGCCCTGACCTATACCGTGGCTGGAAGGGGGCAGTCAAACAAAGAGCCGTATCGTTAATACCAAGCTTTAACATGTGTTTTTTCCAACTCATTGTTTTCTCGTGACGTACGTTCAAAAAAAACCACTGGAATTTAAAAAGGCATGTCTTTGCAACTAGAGTTTCCTGACGTTGATACTGCTGAGTAATTATAGCGTTTCTAAAGGATTGCTTACAGACTCACAAATGTTTTGACATAGATCATTTTTCAATTTCTCTCACCAGTCAAAGCATGCAAAGATCTTGGTCAGTTGCGTGATGGTTAGTTACGATTTGTCCATCCATCTTAGGCACAGGTTGCAACATAGACAAGAGGTACGCGTGCTACATGTATGTCTGTTTGAAACAGAACATACCAGGTAGAGCTTTTCCGCATTCCTGCGGTTTTGAAAAGTGAGTCTGCCAAACATGCATGCGTGCTGTATGATATGTACAATTTTATTTTAAGAAATATACAAGACTGAGGTTTGCAGAAAAAGTTTAAGTATATAGCAGAATGACATCATCATGACGTCATCACGAGGTCAGCATTGACAAAAACAGCATCTGGAGCAGCTAAGAAATGTTGTGAAATAGACACATTTCGCGATCAAAAAGTCTCACCTGTTGCGATGGGAGCACGTTACACGGTAAGAGGCCGAAACGCTGTGCTCGGGGCGAATCGCTCCAAGGAGTAGTTGTAACGCCATTCATGCACAAGAAGTCGCCCACAAATTACGAGCGCTAACTCTCGTTTGGGGGACACAAATATGGGTGGAAATTGATATTATAAATTCCTAACATCAATGATGTCGCCTTGCCTTCCCAACAAATAATTTTAAACTTAATGGGGTAGCGTGCTTGAGTCCTATCAAACGCCTTGCACCTAGACAGGTGTTATGAATGAATGCGGACCCTATTACAAACTAATGTGGGTGTGCTAGAGTACATGTACACGGAAAAGGTTGTGTCCCTCAACTACTAATAAAAATAAAAGTATCGGTGTTCAGGTTTGGCATACCCACGGAGGAATAAGTGTGTTCTTATTCCCCCATGAGTGCACTGTGTTGACTATAGTTCGAGAAAGTGTTGACGAAAATAGGGGCAACATTCTATTATCTTCAATATAATAATACTATATCACTTTGAAGATACTGGATTCTAACTCCAATTCAGCCCAATGGCGCTCTGTTTAGATAACTAGTGACCCGTCACATCGCCATTGCCGAGTCAATTATTCTCCCCTACTTTGATTATTGTGACAAAGCTAAAATGCTGACAAACTCCTCAAAAGGGCGCGTTGGATTGGTTTGAACGCACCAAACAGGACACTCACTACTGAAATATTTAATCAATTTTGTTGGACATCATTACACTCCTGTAGAGAAGTGCATCTTCATACCATGGCTTTTAAATTTTTGACTGGAATATTTCCTAGCATCTGACTGACAAACTCATCAGGGTCTATGAACGGCACTCTTATCGCACAAGATCAAGTTCTATTAAGGTGAATATTGTTTTGCCACGGCCCCAAACTGAAGCTGACAGGAAAACCTTCCATTACCGGAGTGCCTAAGCCAAGAACAACCTTCCAGATAGACCCTTACAACCGTCCAGTCCGTTGTCAATCATTTTAATTCGTAACTCGTTACATGATTCAGTTTAACAATGTTTTTCAGAGTACATTTATAATCACTGTGAAATCCTAGCTGCTGGTTTTACTAACATCTTGATAATAATCAATTACTGATCGGTGATGAAATATTTTTATGCTGTTTTTATCCATTTTAACGTGACCTGGTCTATTCTTTGTGGCTGCTGTTCCTTTTAAGCTTTTAATGTTCATAATAAGTGTCAATTAAATTTTATCCTTGGTTCTCTACTGTTAGAAGATATGTATGCGTAATAACACAAATTCTTGTATCAAGGTAATGTTAATTTCTAAATCGGGTTTATTGTTTTACTGTATATTCCCCTCTACTGGGACTGATGGGAGATCAGTTCTTTTAATTAAACTGAATGGGAAACCTGGTATAAAGAAGAAATAAAGTGAAAATAAATAAAATTTAGATTAAATTTTATGAAGATGTGTAAAATACTCCGGATTTAACGAAAAATATATTATTCGTTGAACAATGTTTGATCTCGTGGAGAAAAGTAGCACCCATGGAGTTCTGTCAGAGGTTATGTGTGCATGTACCTAAACAAAACAACAGACTTTCCTATAGACTTCACTGTTAGACTCGAGGCACGAAAAAATTGTAAGCCCTCTCTTGCTAACAAATGGACAGAAATGACAAATGATTCTGTGCGCGAGTGAAAGGGCCCTGATTTAATATTCTGCTTAGTGTCCCCCTGATAAAACATAACGGCATTAGATTTGATTACTTTGGGACTAACGTCAAGCTTCAAATCATCCTGCCACAGCAAACTTTTTCAAAACACCTCACGATTTAGAACGGAAGTGGCTGATATTTCGTTTGTTTACTTGTCCCTTTTGTCTGGAATTACACGTGTGGTTTATAATTAGTAAACATGTTACCGTCTACGCTTCCCTCGTGCGAATCCCAAACGAACGGTGAGGAGACTCACACGCGAACAAGCAAGCGCGAAATGATTCCTAGACCAAAAGATATAGGCTTATAGCATCTTTTTTGGAGCATTATTTAATGCGGCAGGAAACCAACTTAAAGGAACCAGAAAACAGAAACATTTTTATTAATTTTACTAAAAACCCTTGAAATTGCATCTTTGGGTTTCAATTAACCTGATATGAATTTTTTGTTGCGCAATTTAACCCATGTTTGATGCCTTTTTGGTTTTAAACTAAGCATATTTGTATATTCATGAGCAGAACTATGATGTCATCCAAGGCACTGAATCTCATCAATGTTGCACTGATTTGTGCACAGAAAATTTCTAGATTTTTTTAATCACTGCTATGGCGGATTTTATTTTCTTTGGCAATTTATTGCTGTGTAAGCATATGGCAATAATCTAGCAAAAATTCTTTTTATAGAAATGTTCCCAGATATCAAATTTGGCGTTCACAATTCGAACCCGAAAACATGCAACCTGAACCATGTCTTTCTGGATTTACGTCAAAGCAAAAGCACCCTCACCTGTCCAGAAATGCTTGGTCAATTTTTAATGTTTGAAAAAGTGCACCGTCAAGTTCACGTAAACTCAAAAAAAGATGTCAAAAAGTCTTCGTACATGGAAGAAGAGTACAGAGATACACAAAAAGTGATTCTAAGAAAAATTCATTTCCTGGATCCTTTAAGTTGTAAGTCTTAACACTGGAGGTTACTTTGAGATGTTTACGACAGAACCTTGGAACTGTGAAATGATCATGTTTAAACTCTTTCTCCAATTAATTTTACATATTTGAAATTTGAAAAAAAAAATTCTTTAGCGGAATTCCTTGGATTTGTTTGGGTTCGGGAAGACAACCAGTTTTCTTTGCTTCTTAGGACTAATGAAACAAGCCATTCTCAAACAATATCAGAAATTTCTGCTGTTACGTAGACTACAATACATGTCATTAGATTTGATGACCCACATAGTTTCTTGACTGTCTTATTTTCTTTAGAAGAGGGTAACAGTTGATTAGCATTGTCCTTGTAATCTTAATTACTTTCTTTTTCAACGCAGAAATAAATGCCGAGTTTAGGTATGTAGAACACTTTTCAAAGGGTTTTGTCTGATTTCTTTTGTTTTAATTAAACTTGAGCCAGTTTGTTGAAACGGTAAACTGAACAGATTCCACACACAACAGTTTTGACAGAAACAGAGCAGACTTTGTTCGGTTGTGTATAATTCTGCCTCTTAATAACTTCCAGATGGTGCCAACATGGAGCCATTACAAAGCTTAAAGGGTGTACCGTCCCAATTCAAGAAAAATTCTCGGTCAGACCAAAGCACTTAGAAATTACCCCTTCAGATTCTGTCGAAAAGAAGAGTCTGTGTGGGCCGGGAAATTGTGGGATTGTGTAAGTATGGTCCAGGATCATCTATATAGATTTAGGGGCTCTCATCTGGGAGCAAAGCAGACAAATATTATGTTATTGAAAAAATTGTCAGACATGAATATCTACTAAAATTTGAAATCAAATGAAATCTGAAAGACCAAACAACACGTTTTTTTGTTTGTTTGAGAGGCCTCAGGGATTTCGGTTGCCCGCGATGGGGCTCCAAACTTTGTTGATTTTACACTGTTTTCAGTGGAGCTTGAATTAGAACAGTGCACCCCCATATGTGACAGGCAGTCGCGAATGTGAATTGCAACGGCGCCGTCTAATTCTTGCCGGCCTATCAGTAGATAATATGTGAAATTTGTTGTGCGTGCTTTTGACAGGGAAACTGAGACAGCCCAAGCCCGGTAAGCCTGGTGCGAGAAGCATTTAAAATAACCGCGGCTTATTTTGGAAACTTTGATGCCAGCTAGACTGTATAGAGGTCCTACACTAGTTACACTCCTCCTTATGTGTCGTTAGTACACTACAGCATGGCTACAGTGACTGAAACGCAAGTTTCAATTAATTAATAGAACATCTGTCACCATGTTCATGTTACACTCTAAAGAGGGCGCTGTAACAAAAACTTAGTGGCGCAATTTACAAGTTTTTTGTTGCAAAAAGTCTTCACCGGGACGCATTTATTAGGTCAACGAAGTTTAAACGGGGGCTGCATGTAGATATCTATCCTTGCTCACACAAAAACTCGTTTTTGGTTTAAAATGAACTTACCGTTGATGACGTGGTGTCAATGGTGTCCAGTACCCAGCACCGATCAAAGGTATAATCCCAAGAAAATTTACCACATTGTGCAGCATAGTAAAGGATGCACTTTATCCAAGGACAGCTCTGATGACGAATCCATGGTGCTAGAGGGCCATATGTCCACACTCGTCGGAATCAGTGCAGACAGTTGATACAACTACTTCATCTGCTAGCCCATTTATCCCAGGGGCCAAGTCTGTTAATTCAATCCAAAGTCTCGTGGCCCGAATCCCCTATCTAGGCATTCGGCCAAGCTTCATCAGTGTCTCCAGGTTACTTTGTCCGAGCATCTAGCCCTAACTCCAGTGAACGATCCATCAGTTAAAGCCACTGGACTTTCAAGCGTGTCTGCTCACGCCACTCTGGATCAAGCCAGTCCGGAGGCAGGGCAGTCACCGTCTTATCCTAGCCAGGAGCAAGTCTTGAGTCTGCCCGCCTAGTTCTGTTCCTTATTAAACACGATGACTCCAGACCTCTCCCAGTCCACCCATGGTCCACCTATTAAACCCATACCTTGAGCAGACCTTCCTCCGGTTACAGTGTTATGGTTCCATCGTATAAGTCTTGTCTCTGGCCAATAAAAGAACCAATCTCTTACATGGGCTATAGCCCCCATGGTATACACTTGGTGTCTTGCCATTTGACAGACAATGAAAGGAATGTGCTGTCTTGTCTGCTATTATAGCCATTGATGAGCGGCCAATCCTCACGCCAAGGGCCCAGCTTTAAGAACTCACAGAATATGAAGGACCAGCGTTGCTCTATCCATGCTTTTCCCAGCCTGATCCATCTACACCTATCCAGTCCACCAGATACAATGAATAGAAAAGACCTTTTGTCCGTCTAAAATTTCTGACCGAGACTAAAATGCATTGATGACAACGTGCTTTTTGATGCAGTATTTGTAGTGGGCATTTATTGACAGCGTCAGCCTGGAGAGTCGGATTTCTATATAATTATGAAGCAAGTGGGACGGAGAGCAGTCCCACACCTTTGTGTTGATAGGAATCTCAGGAATTCTTTAAAGACGTCGAGGGGGATATGGTAGGTGACAATACTCTGGGATGTGTACATGTATAGGGATTGGACAAGTAGGGGTACCCTTCCGTCTCATATCTTGCTGGGTATAGGATTTGTAATCGGTGCATAGGTCAGTATGGTGGCCCCACATTTCTTGTCTCCTGCGTCTTATTTTTATGTAAATTTCCATCAACCATCCTCGCCAAAGTGTCGATGGAACATCGAGCACCAGTGATGTTTTTGCACCAGAAACCGCAACAGTTGTGGCACATACAAAGCATGAAATACATTGCATTCGTAAACACGAAAAAATCTCACATGTGCAATTTCCATTTCCCTTTCAAAGACAAAGTAATTAAAGATTTGACGACAAACTTTTTTTGTACCAACTTACGAAGACCTGACTCTTTTTTACTTTCAAAAATCATTCCTAAAAATCAGAAATGCCCCGTACTGCTATCAACTTAATGCAATATTTTTACATAAATATTCGTAATTTGGTGAATTTGTCAATTACCTAGTGAACATTATAAAATTTTGAATTAGATTCTTATATCAAAAACATGAATAGGAAATTTCTTTAACATAAAACTGAGTTTGTAGAGGAGAGCTGTCTTTTTTTTCAAAACAAACTGTGAACCTTTCACTTGCTGAATTTATGAATGCTGAAAAAGAAAGTCTAGAAAAATTCGATTAACTATGAAAATAATGACATATTCAAAACAACCCAGTTACAACGAGAGGGCATGGATCGATCGGTCTATGCTTATTTATTGGTATATCTCGCTTTGAAGACCTCTTTGGGAATATCACGGTTCCAGTTCGCCTCCCCAGTGATCATGTCGGCTCCCATCCTCCCCATTTCCTCGGCCATGGTCGCTCCCAGGCTGTTTCCACCAACAAGAACCCCGAGGCCGGGCGATACCATGTCACAGTAGGGGAGCCTCGTGGGTGTGTCCAAATCGGCACAGGTGTAGTATATCTCAGATAACGGCTTGACCCCTTTTTCGGGGAAAGAAAAAAATAAATAAAACTTTGATTGAGTACTGAAATTGTAGCAAGCTAATCATCGAATGAAACCCACTGCATTCAGTGCAACAAGAATTCAAAATTCTATCGATGTTCCAGTTGGAGATTGCAATGTGATGCTTCAGTTCAAGTGGAATCACTTTGTTCAGAGAATATAAACTTTATCCACTTTTCGTTCTGATTTTCTGAATCTACTATATTCAACGTAACCTGTTCAATGGGGGTTGTGCCAGACTACCTGTATTTTGGGTTCCAAAGCCTCACTTTCAGCGTTTGTAAATGTGTCTTTAAACATTTAGATATATCTAAAATTTGAACTTTTCCTAAACGTATACTGGCGTGAATTTTTAAACGAACTTTTATTTCGCTGCTGTTATTTTGCTCTCAGGTTCCCAAAATGGAAAATTAACCTCACTTCCCATTAAAAATGGACACAGTCTCGTGAGGCTGCTGATACAAAGCAAAGAGTCTTAGTGTCATCATTATGATCTATTGTAATGTATTACCCATCCAAATGACCAGACCTTGCCAGGAAAGCCTCTATTTCAACTTAACAGCGGAAACAGTACCAGCACGTACTTCGTCGTGGAATGGAGAAAACTGATATTATTTTAACACTATTAATAGCTACAGCATCTAATCTAATCAACATCAGAATCCTCCCACCTCCAAATCGCTCAAAAAGTCAAGTGTTCCGTATCATGCATATAGTTAGTTGTCGCGTTACTGTATTCTAAAAATTGGGCTGCCTGGGGTTGCAATTGGGGCCCCACTCTTTGAATTTTGATCAAAATATCTGCCTCGAGCAGAAGTACCTCCTTATCGGTTGAAAAGAGCCACGTTGATCGGGAGTGTTCACTTTTAATTTTGGATTTTTGTATGCCCCCAAGGCTTGTGAAAATACACCACAAGCGTACTTGGGTGGGACTCGAACCCACGACCTCCAGCTTACCAGTCGGCAGATGCAATGCGACCGCGACCAGCGAAGTTCAGTTGGGACCACAGGGTTGTTGAGAAAATTGCGCCCTCTCTTGGTCCAGCTAGCAGACAGTAGACTGGGCCCATATTCATTAAAGCCTGCTAAACTAGCAGCCAACTAGGCTTTAGTAAGCTGCTAAATGCCTAGTTGACTGCTTCATAGTTTCCTGCTATTTTTGTATTCATAAAACCCTACTAAGGACATTCCAGGAAGTAGTCAACTAGGATTTAATTAGTTGTCAACTTAGTGGTTGGTAATGTTCCAAACTGCAAATTACAATATGTGTCAGTTTCACTTTCAATAGGATTGGTATGTTTATGTGGCTAAACAATAGAGTTGTGCATGCACGAATTGCTGTGTGTGTCTGTATAATGCAACGTACAAACTGTTCCGTGTTCTCCACATCGTGAACGCACATGTTCAAAATGGACGATACATGAGCAGGCAACAGAAAGAAAAGAAAAATCTAATTATTCTTAGGAAGAGAATTTATTTATAGCTTAAAAGTATAATGAATACAAAGATGTCAACGACAGTAAACATAAAGATGCAAACACCAACCGGAAGAAAGCCGATGCTTGGCAGAGCCAAACATAAAAATGAAAGATTTAGTTATCAACTAGTGACTTAGAGGTACCCGAGACCACCTCTAAAGTTAGCAGACAACTTAGCAGTCAATTAATCTTAGCAGCGTTTTATGAACAACACTTAGGATCTAAATAGGCTTAGTTGGCAGTTAGAGGCCAATTTAGTTGCCGACTAGGCTGAGCAGGGTTTTATGAATATGGACCCTGGCCATTATCTCCCAGTAAATCTTGCTTTATCCTTATTTCACATTCTGACCTCAGCGGGGTACTATTATTAGCATTTAAACACGAACAGAAGAGGAATTTGAAACAACATTTCCCACCAAAAAAGGCGATAACCCGTGAAACAAACAGACAGACAGACAGGCAGACAGGCAGGCAGACAGAGAGAGAGACAGAGACAGACAGGCAGGCAGGCAGTTAGGCAGACAGACAGACAGACAGACAGACAGACAGGCAGACAGACAGACAAAAAAAACACCCCAAAAAACAAACACCCCAACGAACAAACAAAAACAAAAAAAAAACCCTGATGAAAATCGGTCTGTGCTTAATGCACGAACCTACCTTGAACAACGCTATGGAATATGTCCTTTAGTATATCTACCACCTTGGCGTCTGCTTCGTCGATGTACCAGCGTCGCACTTCTTCGTGCGTGTCGAGTGTGGTGTCCACAAACTGCCCGTGACCTATCTTGATATACACCTTGGCTGGAAGAGAGTTGGAACAGTGTATATGTATTGGGAAAAATAGCAGACTGAGTGGTTTCGCACTGAGTTTGAATTTCACTCGTGCCCCAGCGCCCTGTAAAAGTGGTGGGAGGGCAAATGCACTTCACAAATGTTTGAGATACGTCACAGCTAAAGACGCGCAAAGCATTGTGTCTTGTCCTAATCCGTGCATGCATGTACATGTACTTCATGGAGCTATATAAAAACTAAAGCGCTGACTCATATACAAAGTGATGCCTGCTTGGTGCATCCATGTTTGTGCACAAACCTATGGAAAACTCGAATTTTGTACGACTTTTGTACAACTATTTGCATATGTATTTGCATATCTCACTTAACACTGACTGAATTAAGGGAACGACTTTTACAATTTAGCCTAACTTATTCATCGAAAGTTAGCTATCGAAAAACATGCATACGAAATCGGACAACCTTGCTCGAATGTTAGGGAATCATTCGTTTTATCAGCTCTGGATTCATCAGCTATGGATGTAAATAACCACGTGCAATTGCCCTGTACATGTCCACCTTATTCAGAGGAAGTGCTGACATTTGCGTGTGTTGTACTTGAACGTTGCATTTAGAATGTATAATTCAAAATCCATTCTGTCTGATTTTGAATGTTCTACAAGCACGCACATGGTTTCAAAATGTCTGCGCCCAGGACAGCATCAAATTTTCTCCGAGAGGAGAATGAGAAGTTAGAGCTCTATTTAGCTCTATACGTACTTTCAGCGCACACGTGTCGTGCGCACGTGGAAGAGTTGACCCGTGTTATTGTTCAAATGAACTCTATCCAATGAGTGCTCGATGAAAAAAAGACGTCAAACATTACAACCTTCCTTTTCCAGCGCCCTGTCCTTTGGCGGTGGGTGACGAGCTCGAGCGAAAGTTTGAACATGTTTGAGGTTGCCCTGACCGACTGGATGGCTGTCTGTAGTCAATACCACTTGAGCGACAGAACTGAACATTAATGCAACCATCACACATTTGTATATTGTTTTGATACTAGTAATGGCATGGTAAACGTGTTGAACTTCGAAATGGCTTGTATTTAATTACTTCTTCTAAACTCCATTCCCACTTAGGAACACGAGCTTTGTAAAGTAGCTGCCTTTCAGAATAATAGCGACCTCAAATTAGCCATGTCTAAAGGGTGTTGCTTACCATCGGGATACCTAATTGGTGGGAGGATGTAGCACTCCCTCGGGGATGGTTTGCTGAATTCTGAGGTCAAGCAGGGCATGTCGTGCAGTCTCTTTATATCTTCATCGTCGAGCTCAAATCGGATGGTAATATCGGAGGTGACCGTCGCATCCAGCTGGAGACCTGGAGGCAGTAGATCTTTAAACGGCGTGAAGGCGCCGGTGCAAAGCAGGACTTTCCGTGCCATGATACACCTCCCTGATTCCGTCTTGACCTGCATACCCCCGCTGACCGATTGGTCGTCCTCGGTCACGAGGGACACAACAGCATTGATGATGTCACAACCCTGGCGACGAGCGACGAGTAGCTGTGCTTGCACATACTTGCGGGCATTGAGGTAGCCGGAGTTGCGCTTAGCGAAGATGGCGGTCGGCCCATCCATTCCAGTGTCAAGGTACGGATAGCGGCCTCGAATACTGACTGCCGTTTCGAGTGAAAGACCTTCGGGGATACTATCGTAGAAAGCATCGACCTCGCCAAAAAATATAAAGCCACACTCCTCATGGAAACTGATACCTGCAAGGTATAAAGTGGATTTTCAACGCTGAAACACTGGAATATTATTGCTTGTGAATACTACAACTGATTCCAGCTAAATCGATTCGACATTAATGTGAGTAAAGTACTACCAACCCATCTGTCAACGACGCTTTTGAAACATTTAACTCATAGTGAAAAGTAGCATTAAATTGCGGTTGGTCCACTGAAGACTTTGAAGCAGTCAGCCCCTAAGCCAAATTCGTTCCCGCTGTTAACCCAAGTAATTCTCACAAAGATGCCGACAACAAAGGTCGGCTTTTTGTTTCCCTCGATTAAAGTACATCTTGAAATCTCTCGATTAAGTTTTTGAATTGCTGTTTTTTTTAGTTTTCGATTCACACGTGTAAACAGTCAAGCATTTTGAGAATAGTGCTTGATCGGGCAACCTCGACTCCATGGGCTGCGTGCGCGTTCCTTCACTAGTTTTCACAAGGCATGGTGGGAACCAACATGGTACGGCAAGATCGTACCCGTGGCAACGAGGTAGCCGGTCGGGCACTTTCCGCCATAATTTACGCGCGTTTTATCTACATGTAGTTCATGCGTGTCCAGTTTATGCTGACGCAAATTCCATGCACTAGTCACAGCGATTATGGTAGAGGTGACAGGCCTTTTATGCGACGCACTTTTGGCCCCAGAACTGGGCAACGTGCTATGCTGTTCGATTACAATGCCATGTTAACGCGCGCGGGCATCGTTGCAGTCTATGAGGTTGCCCCGTGTCCCCTGTAGTTCTATTCATGATCTCAAAGGCACAAGTATATCCACCCTGAGTTGAAGTGCACCCTCTCCGGCAAAGGAGAGACAGGCAGTCGGAAAGGTTTTCAACTGAGCGCACACTCGACGCACACGTTAAGACCATAGGCCTACACTCCCGCATAAATTGACAGCGCGAACTCAGCGCGCTCTGTCACAAAAGCGCTAAAACCTATGTGCTCACTTGGCGACTTCTACCAAAGGACCGTTGTTTTTATGTTAAAACACGCCCTCTCTAGTTTGCACTCCGAGCGGATAGCGCGTTCGACTATACCCATTTACGATTACTTGGGGAAGTATACCACAATGCAACGCAAAACGCGGTTCATTTGAACGATACGAAGGAAAACTGGTGCCGTTGAAGGCCCTCTAAGTAGTTAAGAGAACTTGATTTGTGTAGGTAAATTGGCTCAAGTCAGGCAAGTTATGTGAAATAAAGGCCCGATAATGTGTGTTTGGATGCGCCCGTTGCTTTTAACATTTCGAAGTCATATTAAAAGTTTACCTTTTGACGCCGGCATCCTAAGGGTAATAGCCCATTGTAGCTGCTTTGATAATATATTGTAGCAGTAGATGCCAAAGCGGTTTGGCACCTCTGCTAGCCCAAGATCGTTCGTTTCCCATTTACATGTAATGCGCATGGTCGCCTAAACCTCCAGCGCCATCATGGGTAAACGAAAGAGGAAGTAATTGAAGGCGCTGTTAGTGAACCGCACTTGACCTTGTCTCAGCCAACTCTAATAAAGAAGCAGCAAGGGGTGTGTTATAAGAGTACTTTTTGAACGGCAGCCTGATACCCACACGCATCGCTTTATTCTATTATGAAGTGGCTACCCTTACCTGACAGTTCCTCAACTTCAGCGAAACGTTCTATGGAGCGTTGACTGACCAACCCCCGTATGCGGCCGATGGTATCACTACCTTGGACCGTGGTGTAAATACGCCCGGCATCGTAGTGCGCGCCAAAGACCTCGCTGTCTGCAAATTCCTACATGTATACAAAGACCCAATGGCGAATGTGAAACAATAAAGTAATGCGTTATGGCCTCCAAAACGGGAGGAATAGCGAGACGATGGAAAACTGCAGAAACCTGTGTCAAGAACAGGCCCCCCATGGTTCTACGGACATTTGGGGCACGTTCACGCGGCTACTCCAGTTAGCCAGAGTAGGATGCGTGCGCACTTTAATACCCAGGTGCAGGAGTACACTTCCTAGGTAGCGAGAGTATACTCTCGTTGACCCACGGGTCGTACTCCAGCCGTTCGAATGCCCTGGAGTATTGTGTTAACACGAATAGCTCGCTCGAACGCACCCCCTGCATCTGCTCTAGTATGAAAAGAGCAACATCAACAATCGATGATTTGTTCTTTCTCATGGACAATCCGTACTATAGGCCAAACGTCCTTTTATGGTCCTTAAACTTACGATGACACCTTGATTTTCTTAATGTCATGTCTTAATGTCATGCTTAGCTTTCCTCGATTACTGTTTCATGGGAAATCACCTGCGCTGCTCACTCAACGGTGCATTCGCCTGTACGCCCTGCTGGTCAGCAAGAGTGTACTCTCGCTAACAGGCGAGTTTACTCGTGCACCTGGGTATAATGCCCACGCACTCACTCTTGTTAACTCGAACGTGCCCCCAAATGCCCGTAGAGCTACATGTATAGCGTTATTTCGCAAAGTTACAGTTCGCAATGTTATTGTGTTTAATTTCGCAAAGCTATGGCGTTATTTCGCAATGTTATCGTGTTATTTCGCGATACAAATATTTTTGTATAGTTCAAATTGGCACTAACGGGCTTCCGTAAAAAACTATTTTCGACGCGAGAGCGGAAACAGAGAGGAGGAAATGAGTGTTCAGGCCAGATTAAAACAAAGTTGAACTACGGAACTCATGCTAGTGCTACTGCCAGTCTGGCTGCATCAGTGCTGGTACGAACGGGAGCGTAAATTCCCCCTTTCTCCAAAAACAATCCTATTTCATCGTTTTTCCTATTAGTTTCTAATTTACGCGGGATGTTTAGTGCTTTGTAAAAAGACTTAACAGTCGTGATTTTTTTCTGTGCGCACGAGATTAAGCGGAAAAATTCCGCTTAGATTAGAAAGGAATAGCAAAAACGAACAAAGAAAAAATGAATAAAGCCAGAAAACCTGAGAGAAAATGATCGAAATCGCACCCCTGTACATTTTCAATGGACCTTGCCGCCAGGGCCATTTTTGCGCTTGTATGCAAATTATGAATTTATTAGTGAAAAAGTCTATTATCAAAAATTAATACACGGTCACATGACGCGTTGACTAGGGAAACTGTTTGAGATATTTATCAATGTAAGTTAACTGTGGCATCGAGTTGTAAATGAAGTGAATAATTATAACAATTGTTTTTAAGAATCGACGTAACTTGAACCCAGACATGCCATAAAGATATGACTGAACTTTTCAATACGTTCTAATCTCAGGAGTTAAACATGACTAGCGCTCAACTGTGGCAATGAGTCGTTCTAATTGATATATATTTTTACAATGTTTTTATTTAAACAACATGATTTGTGCTTATCCTCGTATGTATTACAGTCAGATGCATTTACCATAAATCACCGAAACCTTTCTAGGAAACTACGTAAAACATTGACTCTCATATTCCTCTGTTAAGCCTGGCTGCTCAGTTTGTGTATGAAGTGTTCTGGATAAAAAAGGTCCTTACTAAATTTGTTTTAACTGAGAGTAGCCTTTGTTACCGAATTCAACCTTGAAATAATTCTGTTGTAAATGGGCGAGCATTTATGTCGTTTAAGTGTCACGTAAAATATTTCAAAGTCTTTATTGATTGTGTCTGACTTGCAAACTCTGACATTTTCAATCTTAATTACAGGTTTTGCCCTTAATCCGACATACATATGTTTATAAACCACTGTTGCGAAAAAAATTCACAAGCTTACTCAGGATGGACTCAAACCAATAACCCTCTTGCTTACTAATGTAGACGTCTCAACCACTCGACCACCGAGCTTGCCGGGGTCATCTGGCCGGCCCGGCGAGTCAGAGGCAGCAGCGGGTTCTGCAAACTATTTTCAATCTTGCTTAATAGATACATGTAGATAGGCCTAAGTGAAAACCAACATACAGAAACATGATAAATTTTAAGAAGTTATCATGCCATGCCACTGGACATTCACGTTGCTTATATTATGTACTGAAAGTCTCAAAAGATGCATTGTTCTGGGTTTTAATATGTCAAATGCCTCCATATTTGAGGCAGGTAACCAAAAATCCATAGTTTTGCCGTTCAGTGATTGCGTGAAAAAAATGATAATAAAATAAACAGGAAAACGATGTTTCTGTTAAACATAATTGTAGCCTCTTAACCATCCATGTCAAAAAAAACAAAAGTTTTCACTTTTCCAGATTATACTTCTCACGAAATGCCTCTGAAATTTCAACAAGACTGCATTCATAATTCAAAACGACAACCGCCTTAAGTTTGAAGTCGTTTTTCCCAAATGGTCATTTTCAAGTTACATAATTTGGCCTTGAGAGTGTACAGCGGGCAGGTATGTACCAAGCGGTGCTGTGCTCAGATTATGTGTTTGTACATGTTTTATGAGACGACAGAAATAATGTCGTATACTTTGTCACTGATTCTGCATATAATCCATTAAAAGGAGCTATGCAATGCAGCAACAAAATACAACCCATGAAAATGTACACGCACCTTTGTGTTTCAATCATCCTTATTTCGGGGGGCAGTTTGTAATTTTAAAGAGAATTTTGGTCTTTTTGGTTTTAACCCTGATGTAAATTTCCATACTCATGACCAAAACTGCGAAGGAGTCTCAGGGAGAATGCCGCAATGTTGACATTTTGCTGCTCTGAATTTCTTGGATGGTGCATGAGCAACCATTTTTCTCAGAGATGTGTTTTAGAGGCAAATTTGGCTTCACAACTTGAACACAAAACCCTCAATGACATCAAAGCAACAGAAAGTTTTCTGGAACGGCATTGGCGATCAAGGCTACAGAATGGTTTTTTCCTATTCCGTGAAGAATGTAATTTTGCGTAAAAGTGCGAGCAGTTTATCGCCCGGACCCTTAGCATCAACCTCGATGGACATAAACCATGTCATTAGTAGTTTTGGGGGTTATCCCTAGCTTTGTAATTTCATCAATGTGCACTAAGGACTTTTTTGACTAGTTCTACACCCAATTTCATATTCACATTTGGATCCTGTTTCATATAGGCAGTGGCAAGTTGCATGTCGAAACGATCCACACTTGTCGTCTTTGTATCTGACCGATGGGAAATATTTGCCTTTCTAGGCACCTCCGTGCAAACACAGATCCCCGGGTTTCTCGTGGCAGGTTTCTATTTATTCCATCCTTCATGGTCGGCTTAACATAACGCGATTAATCATTTCACGACCACAAAATAATATCTGTTGGCAGAGTCTAACACGAATGGCTACAGGTTTTGGGATCTATATATGATGAGCCTTTTCACTGATGAGTTTCACGAATGCATGCGGTGAACTAATTCAAGTGAAAATATCTCCAGCTCATTAGCATAAAAAGCGCCGAAAACATGGAGGGATTGAGGAAATACGGGTAGACGGGGACAAAGGACACATAGAAAAATGTGCGCTACATGCATATTATGCCCAGGACTCATAAAATACGAACTGTATACTCTTGAGCACCATATGCATATGGCACACGTTCTGCGTGCCCTCTTTTTCCGTCTACCGGAAATATGGACCAGAATCAATTCCTGGGTTTGGGGACTTCCATCCGAGGGCAGACTTGACTATCCTCAGTGCCCGGCCACGAAAGTAGACGGAAGCCATTTGAGTTTGTTTTGCGTGACTAATTAAAAAATGAAATGGAAAAGACACAGACAGACTGGGGCCAAGTCACTAATTTAATTTTTGTTAGAGACTCTCCAGTAATGTCGACTTGCATGTTTTTCAGCCCTGAAATTTGTTGATTGTACATCGTTTTCAATGGTTGACTGCACGGAAACCATGGAGGTTGGAAGCAAAAGAGAGGCTTACATGTACTTTATTGTTGCGAATGCACTTCCCACGCCGCGTTACACACACAGGTCACACGCATCAAATTTCAACGAGACAAAACGCAATGAGCTCTTTTATGGTGTAGACAGACCCCTTTTCAGGCATGCTACATTCTCTCAGCCCAGGTTGAACTCAAACCCTGGGTGAGACGGCCGCCCAATCCGATTTTCAACCCTGCATCTGTTCATCTTCCTTGCTCTATTGTTATTATGATTTACCAAGCATTGTTTCACCCTTGTTCCGTGTGAATTGAGCTAAACGGGGTGAGTTCAACCACTTCAAACCGAAAATGGGCACCCGGGTTGAAAATCTCAACCCTGATCCGCGGGAGCAAGGTTGAGCTCAACCCGGGTTGAAGTCAATCTTGGGGTTGACGCAGCGTTCAATCAAGTTGGTGCAGGGTTGAAGATTTTGAAGTGTGAATCGCCGCCAATTTTCAACGCTGCTTCAACCCTGCGTCAACCCCGAGATTTGTCTGGTGTGAAAAGGCCTTATGTTATTGTAGGTAGCCTACCTGTAACGTGGGTTCTTCTGGTCCAACCACACACACCTTTAATCCCGTCTGTTTGGAGGCGTGGCGGGCAGCAGTCGCCCCCCACATGCCTGCCCCCACAATGCACACATCGTACATCCTGCTGTTACTCATCCAGAATGCGAGTACATGTACAGTACATAATATCAGCAGTAGCGCAGAGCGAGGAAATGGTGGCACATCCAGCGAGCTGAGAGTGAGACACAGATGTTGCACATAACAGTTCCACTGACCATATCATGACGTAACAGCGGGTAGTAGCAGTGTGTGCATGCAAGCTGACGTTGCTCGACCACGGTTACGCTGCATGATCGAACAACTCAACCATGGCTCTGTCAGATAAATGAGATTCCTTCACTCTTTGGACCACCTTCATTCCCATTGTTCGCATGAGCGGCCAAAGTTTGCAGAATTATCGCCCTTGGTTGCCGTAGTACTGTGACGGAACCGTACTGCTGCCAACAGGAAGAAATGTTTCAACTCGTCTTAACGCTATACTTAATTTTCTCGTTTAAACCACGGACGTGTATAATAAAATCTGGACTCACAATACTTACAGAGTCATTGAATCCACTCGCGGCAAGTTTACCGAGCCGAATACAAAGCTTTCCTGGCAATGCCCGTCTTTGTTCTTCCTGACGTCAATAGACGGGAGCCAAACCACGCATTTGTATTCGACTCGGTAAAATGGCCGCCGGTTAGCTTCTTTTTCATACAAAGGCGTTGCAAGTCCAGGTTTTTATATACGCCCGTGGTTTAAACGACTTAGTTGTAACATGGAGGAAGGACATGGTTATAAACGAGTTTACTGAGTCTAAATGCCAGTGTAGGCACTGAGGACTGCAACGCACGACGTTCACTAAAGCGACTAACCTCAAGTACTTGCAGGTGCACATTTTGTATCTTGCGACCTTGACCCTTATGCATCATATGTGCACAACTCTATGGGACCGTAGCGAATATTAGGTGCGGAAAAAATCATTGCGCCCTGTCCGCACTGGACTTTTGGTGAAACTTAGTCGATGGTTACGTTTTCCATTTCAGGTCCCCAGTGTGGATATCCCTGGAAATTGTCCTCAATGTTACTTTCACCCAGTCGCGCGGTTATTTTGCAACGCCTACCCAGAAAAATGTCCAGGTCACTTTTCTAGAGATGGAAAGTCCAGTGCCGATAGCCCTGGTCAGTAAACTATAGAGCTACAAAGGTAAAACCACAGAATTATGATGCTTTTGTATTTTGCCCGAGCACGATGGCGTGATCCACAATTGGAAAGTACGCATGCGCGTCGAACGTTTCACTGATGTGTACGTGCGGCACGTGTACTACTAACACGTGGGCACGTGGACTATTTTCCATTTTACCAACCTTCGGGGAAACAAAAGATCAGTGCGGACAGGGCTTTTAAGCCTCCGTGCTGGAGGCGTGTCAAGCAGTGGAGTTCGATGAGACCGACCCACCAAGCCTTGCCCTTTAGCTTAAATAGTCCGACATGCTGGATTTACACTTGCAAACACTTGCAAAGTAAACTTGTAAATTTCAAATGGACAAAAAAGTGGGTTGTGTTACTTGATTATGTCCCGCAACGCAGCAAGAGTTTGAAATGATTTGTCAGTATAAGTAGAAAATACAATAAACTTTAATAGAATACTAGAAAAGCCAACCATTTGGAGAACTAAATGTTACTTCCGGGTAGCGTCTTTTGTGGGAATACTTCATAGAACGGTTGTGGAAGCCAAGCCCTAGAGCTGGGACCATTTTCTCAAAACACAGAAGTTCAGAAATTCTACCCAATGTGAACACTTTCCTATAAGATCGACATGTTTAAGACGCAACGTTGTATGCAACCTATTTTGCGTCCGGAATGACTTGTGTATCGTGATCATTCGTTCAAAAGGAAAACTGTGTAATGTCAGACATTTGCGGACGGCAGTGCCCTCAACTCGGTAATGTCATTACGTCAGCATCGGGATCGTCATCATTTTAAACTTCTTGCTGGACATTCCACGTAACAGTGAAATGAAGACAACGTTTATGTAATATAGAAATACAGTTGTTTATTAGAACATAACACTCTCTTATTAGAAGCGAGAGGTATTGGATTAAATCGCGATAAATCGAGTATAAACGCTTTCATATCGCGAGCATCCCTAATAAAATCTGAGCAGATCCAGCTTTATGTTGCTAATTTCGAGAATATCCTAGAATTTGTCCGATAACAATTGAGATACATGAAAAGATTTAAAACTGCATTATTTGTTTTCTTGTAAATGCTTCTAATGATAAAATCATACTTTTTTGGGTAATAGATTTTCAAGCCTATAATTGCCACTGTTAATGATTTTGTACTTTGTAATTTATAAAAGCCATTTACAGATGAAAAAAACACAAATAAATTTGTTTAGAAGTGTCCCCTTGAACGATGTTCACGGAAAACATTCAGTCTTTTATTTTAAAGGGATTATCTCGCCAGAATAATTTGAATTTTTCTTTAATTTGGGCCATGTTCACTATCACAACTGATAAACATAATCCAGTTAATGCCATCGGGTAGTATATTGCAGACTTTTTGTCCTATTTTCATTGAGAACCCCGTTGTTTGGACGACCACTTTTTTATTGCACTTTCCAATATAGGCCTGCAGTGGTGTGCAAAATTATCTCAACACTTCGTATTAGGTTCTTCAGTATGAAATGGCAATCCATATACCATCAAATGTTTTGTATAGATGGAAATTATTTGATAACTTGGCACATTTGAGACTGAAATTGCTTGTCGTGAAATATACCGGTTATCTGATGTTTTCAAATTTAAGGACGTAGAATCCAGCTAACTCTAGTAACCAGCTATTCGTTCACTTCTTGCTCATCATTATGCAGTTTGTTTGTTTGTTTTCCGAATCGGTAGCAATGTTCTTTCCATGCATTAGTTAAGATTTCAAGTTCTTCATGGTGGAGGTAGCAAGTAGAGGTAACAGGTTTGCGGTAGCACCACGCAAAATATCCTGTTGTGAGTACATGTATGTGTAGCTCTGATAGGAACCATGCAGAGGGCACTTTCGGGTAATATGCTCTGTCTGTCAACTGGAGACTGGCTGACAAGCTTTGACAGGCTTTGGTGATCATCAGCAGCAACAACCGTTCGTCAACAAAGTATGCATAAAATTTTTGAACACATTTTGAAAATCCCCTATTAGCAGAACGAGTATATAAGGCCATCCAAACTAACCCAGAGCACAGATCACCACAGCTTGAACGGGAAAAGGGCAAAGAAGGAACTTACAACCTAGCAAAGGGCACAAATAAAGGCCCTTTCTGTTGCCGGATGGAGTAACCGATCAATAACCACAGACAAAAGTTGCAGCCCAAGCTCTGTAAAACACACTTTGGATAGGTGTATGGACACCAATTTATACCAACACCATGAGGGGAAAGGGTGGAAGCAGAAACTTCAGAGAGACATTACTCTAAGTATTGGAGACCGGAGAAACAGCTCAAGGTAGCTTCGAGATGACATCAACAGCATGCTGACTGATGGTGTGACACTTTCTTCTTTGACATGTGCATCGGAGGTTGACTTGTTGACAGATTAGCAGCTAAGAAGCCATCGTTGAAGGAGACCTATAGAGTGAAGTGCCTGAATTTTGCGAATACAAACATTAGACAAAGGATGATTGGTCTAAAGTCCTTTAGATTAATGTATCCAAGTTTGAACAGCTGAGAACCAAACGGAGAATGTGCGTATGCAGAATGTCAGAATGTTCGAATAATTTTGCCCATGTACATGTATTCAAGCACTAATGTTGAAAACAATTTCATGGATAGATTCACTGCACTGAATGCCATTTCATCAAGGGAACTAAAATGCATGTACGTTTACACTGTAGGCCTACCTAAAATATGCCGTATTCAAGTAATTTTGCACACCACTGTATTCAACCGTAGAAAAGCAACCGTTTCAATTTCCACCAGTGAGGTTTAAGAGGGTCTCGTTTTCATGTTGAACTTCCCATTTCATGATGGCCAACTGTAGCTGGCAGCGTGCAGTGGTGTAAAACTGCCTTGAACTTTTGAAATAAACGCAACTGATACCACGAAGCAGTTCATTCGCCTTTAACAATTTCCCCTTTGAACAAAATGGTGTTTGTATCCTGGGTATTCACAGAAAGTTCAACCCCAATTAACGTACACTTAGACTGTGACAGCAAAAAAGTTTCACACAAAGGAAATAAACGTCGTATTAAGTGTAATACATTATCGTCTGTAGCTATTCTGTTCCCTATAAATGATACTACTGAGGATCAATAATTATTACAAAACAGGATTATAGGCATTTGAAATGGCTTGCATAATTGTTTTAATGTAAAAGGACTGCCATAAAATTTTTCATTCGGACTTTGTCCGCGACGAGGATTAATCACTGGCAATCTCAAGATATATTATGTAATATAAAGTATTACTCAAACATTAAACTGATGAGGATGGTGAAGTGTACAATTGTTCACGAAGTAATTACTGGTTTACAAGGAGGTTTAATATCTGTATTAAGTAATGGTCATTAGGAGGCACTGCATTTTCACGTCAAACCGGACCCGCGGCTACACGTTTGTGTTCATGCTCTGTGATTTGTCCAAAGTAAGTCTCTGTCAACCAGACCTCACATATAGAACGATCATGTTAGCACAGCGTTATACACACTTTGTATACAATAAAAACCCAGACTGAAGGTTTGTACAACTTTACATGATAAACGTGACAAAATCGTGCATAGATGATAGATCGGTATTTACAACTAAATACAGATATACGTACTTATCGCAGATATACACGTATATAGATTAGTAAGATAACTGTTACCAGTAATCCGAAATGGAAAGATTAATCGAGGACAGAATGAATCAGCAGACGTGATTAAAAGGAAAGATTGCCGTCGATGTCTTTTCTCATTTGTTGCATAATAAATTTGAAATATAAATATTTAAAACTTACGACCGTTGAGACCTGGATCAGTTACATTGAGAAAGGAACAGAAATATATTGAAGGAAAGGTGGAAAAGGCACTACAAAGAAAACATTAATTATTCGGTCCAAGACTTGTGTACCATGGGCTTGGTGGTATGGGACAGCACTACATGGACGCCGTTTAGGACTATTCACTAGAGGCACTGTAGACTTTTAACATGTTTGTAATGATCCTGCAAAAAATTAATTTCTTGGGCGCTGGCGCGCACCATGCGCGAGATATGTTGTTCGATTGTCTACCGTTCATGTTTCTATCGCACAATGAAGATGCGCATGTACTGTACATGTACTTGAGAACAGTGGCTGTAATAGCACGGTCTTTGACTGGCAGACGGTGGAAAAGGAACAGCTGGTCGTTCCGCGGTGTGATCCGACAGCAATGCGCACGCAACGTTTCCTGCACTGTTCCCCGTCTCTACTTTTAGGGACTGGTAGCTCGCGGCGATTTAACGTGCTTGATTAGGCCTGTCAATTCGGGTGCTGAATATTTAAGTTTTTGTCAGGTCAATCCGGTTCGTAAGTGACTTCGTCACAAAGGTGGACGCGCCACGATTTGCAGGCTCCTATTGGACGATTGCGCTGGTTTTCTGGCTTTGTTCATTTTTTTCCTTCCGAAAATCCCATTAAATCGTTTTTACTATTAGTTTCTAATCTAATCGTGAGTTTTCCTGCTTGCACGAGATTAAGTGGGAAAAATCCTGCTTAGATTAAAAACTCATGTCAAAAACGATTTAACGGGGTTTTCTGAAGAAAAAACTTAACAAAGCCAGAAAATCTAAGAGAAAATAATTAAAATCGCACCCCTGTACATTTTCAATGGCCCTTGCCGCCGAGGCCATTTTTGCACATGCGTGCATTATTATGAATTTATTTGTGAAAAGGTCTGTAGCAATGCTTTAACATGAATGACATTTCAACGCGACGGCGAATAAAACACGAGTGCCTATCCACCCTCTATTGATCACAGTGCGGTAATTCATTTTTCAATAATTATCATCGATAAATCATACACTGCAATTTATTTCAATCAGCGGTTATTGTGTTCAATTTTAGATAAATGAACAATTTACGGTGGAGGTATTTTCGGCAACGAAGAAGAAAAGCAAAATATGCTATCAGCTTGATTTGTGAATTGAGTGGGCATCGTTTCCTCATTTACATACACCGGGCGGAAGGCCGGATTTTTAAAACTGCTACCGGTCCCTATGTTTGGAGGACGTCAATAAGACGTCTGGAACCAGTCAAGGGCGAGTATCGAAATTTGCATGAGTGGACGCAGCCAAAGTGAACAGTTTGCATAATGGTAAGGCGACCGCCGGACCAGCAAATAAGCATTTCCCACTTTATTCTCTGGCTGTGAAATTCAACAACGCCATCTTTAGTTCACGCCTGAAGCGCAGTGGCAGGCACTTTGGAAACTAAATGGTGTCGTGATATATTTTTTAATACCAAACGCGTCTTTAGAAAATTGCAGAGTCCTGTATTGCGTTTATTCCTTAAAAAACCAAAATCAAACCGTTAATCCAACAAATTGCTGACGGTTACTACGCTGCGTCTGAACACCGTGAGTGGTCGCACGGTAAACCAGCTTCACTCATGTTCACGGAGGCCGTGAGTGGACACTTCCCAAGTTCCTATGGCAGTGATGTGCCGGCACACGTTCTGTAGTAAATGTTGCGGCATGAGTTATGTCCGTCATAAGCATCCGATCAATGTTAAATTCTACTCGTCAGATGGTGAGTTTGTGAAGATTGTGACTCTACTTTACACTACTGCAACATAAACGTGATAAAGGTTAGATGGATAGCATTCAGAACTGTAACTGAGTTATATGAGGCTGTACTCTGTTTTAAATCCATGACTTAAATAACCATCACGTGTATTCCATCCGAAGATTGGTACGTCATCGTGCTCTCCTCTTCCTTAAAAATGTAAAAGACGCTGGAGTGGTGTGAACGACAGATGGCGCCCCATTCATATGCTGGAGCCGAGGTTGACAGGCGGCGGCCGGTTGGCGTACTTGACGCGAGAGGGCGTCCCCGTGAGTTCCTCGGACATCTTTCGGAAGTTGCGGTACACAACACAGTTTATGGTTCCAGACACAAGACACATACAGAAGGACAACCAGGCAACGATGAAGGACCAGCCGTAGTACCAGCTATTCTCGTTGGTCCCGTCGTTATTGGCCTTGTGGATACTGAGCATCATCACGTGGCCGACTAGCATGAACAGTCCTGAAAAAGCATAGAAACTAGTGCCACAGTAACTATCAGAGAATACATGCAGTGGATCTCCAGCTCAACTTATTTTCAAGCATATTAAATCCTTCAAAAGTAATCCTCCAAAATAACCCAACGACCATTCAAGTTGTGAAGGAATACTGGCCACCACTTTAGCAATAAGAGCAACACGTAAAGTCTCTCGATAATATAAACAAGAGGAGAAAACTGTAATACCTACATGTCATTGCACAAAACTACAGACACACTCCTGTTCTGCTTTAAATGACATCACACCTTGGTCATGAATATGGAAATAATCATAAAATAAAACATAAAATCGAAATGGTTGAAACCTCTCCAGTTCACTGCTGTAAAGGAGGTGGGAAGTCATCGTAACATGTAAAACACTATACTCCATGGTTTCAAGTCGTAAAAATCCCCTTATACGGTTCCTTCATCCTTTTGTCTCAGACAGGAGGTGCAGGTCGTATACACATAGGTCACGACTGCATAAGACGTTTACACACAACCGGGGCATAGGAACCTGACTTTTCAATTTTCATGAGTTTAGACAATGAAGTGATTTTCATAGTTACCTGCGAAAAACATGGTGAATGCGGCAACCAGCACAGCAAGTGGTTGTTGTTTGTAAATGGCGACTGTCGCTATGCAGCTGCCGGCCAGTGTTGCCGCCACGCTGATCAATTCAAACGCCAACATAGACTGAAAATAGACTGTTTAAGAACAAAAACACTGAGAAAAAGGCTACGTAGTCTCTTTGATATTTTACAGATCCGGCAAACCAACAAAATCCATCGTCAAACAAGCCTTAAAGAACGAATAAGAGCGAAACAACAGCAAAGTGGTTTAAGAACGGACTGCCGGAAGTTTCGCTTACTAAACTCACAATAAGAGAAAAGAGAAGTAACTTGATATATCACCACATTTATAAATACGATTGGATCCCTTCTCACGGTGACATTTTGGAAGAAACCAGGAGTTGGCATCACACACCAGAAGGAAAGAAGGGTTGACCCTCAGAGGACTCCGTATGGCAAATGGAGAGCGCTGTGTGTTTATATATTTTTTTATGCAGAATCCCCTGGTTTCAGCACCAGAAACAAAGAACTTAATAAATACGAACACAATAGCGAAAAACGCCAAGGATACGTGAAGCAGCGTGCGCTCCTGCTGATACAAGCTGTCTCAGCCATTTCGTTTTCATACGATAACGATAATTGCACAGTACTACTTTCATAAGTCATCTCCAATAATATAGAACTGTCACGTTGGTAAGTGAAGATTTGTTGATGTATGGAGTAGCAGCGATTGATTCTTGTAAGGTGAACCACATAATATAAACACAACTCGTTGTTGGACTAAAATAAAAATAAAGTAGGGTATGAGACAACCTTTGATAAAAACAGGCAAACGAAAATGCTCCCGCCAGGCTGCACGGCAAGTGGATTGGGAGATACAATAGCACAAGTGCACTGAAAGTGAAAAGAAATCTTTCATGCTTCACGATCTTGAAAAAAAGAGAAAATATCGAGTTTCTGGGTGCATTTCATTCAAACGTGATAAGAACTATTCTACGGTGGAAAGATAGGGGTGAGCGAAAAGTGCGTGCATGTAGGTGGGTGTAGGCAGAGGCAAGGACAATTTGCGGCCTTTCGTGAAAAATCAGTCAAGATATTCTTACAGATATTTAGTTCTTTCAAAATATATTATTCTCGTAATGAATGTTAATGAATGCTTATTTCCCGGTGTCTGCTGGTCAGTATATAGAAAGTAAAGGAGGAAAAGTTGCGAGGACGAAAATAATGTAGTGCTTGAAGGTTGTGTGAGCGTAATTTGTTCTGGGTACAGCATATTAACGATGAACATCTTTTTGTGAAGACTGTGTAGGGAATATTGAGGTCTATCAAGTAACATTAACATGAAACAGAAAGTTAATTCCACAGAGACTGCTGTCTGTTGATAATGCTGGTAGTTCGACTGACAATGATATTCGTTGATGCATGAGCTTTGCGGTGATGTAATTATTGACTGTACATAGCTTTGGCTGATGATAATGCAATTACTATCCGTTTTGTTTGGTGAGTTGAAATTTCAACCTTGATGCCAATGCTGTTCTATGCAGTGTTCTGTGGAGGGTTGTTAGGGATGGTCCAGAGAGTGATGAGTGTACACGGTGATGAAGTTTACGACACCGATTGATGTTGATGCTGCTTATGACGATATGGCAAGAGGGAGGGGTAGATGATGATGTTATTTTTTTGCCGAGGCTGTCATGGTAACAGCCCTGCTGGTAATGAGGACTGCATTCACAAGCCTGGGGCGTAGCCATTGATGTTTCTATTAATAACAGCGTTGTAGCCAAATTCTAATTTGATGGTGAGCAGATATCTCTCGTGAGGGTGCCTACTGCTTTCAGCGTGCAACATCAGGGACGTTAGGGTGAACATGTGCGGCAAAATTAATCTGGCTAGAAAAGTACACAGTAAGCAGGGGAAATGGCAGAAAAAATGTTGTGTATGAGGTACGTTCACGTACTGCGCCTACCGGCTAGCCGAGATCTGTGGCCGTGTCCGAAACGCATGTTTTCGCCCACGGCTACGGTTGTTCACTGTTGCATTTTAATGTCCAAAACCATAGCCGTAGCCACAAAACAGCTGATTCGGACGCGGGCAGAGTCGAATGTGGACTAACCTTCTGACGTCTCTATGTATACTGTTAAGTCAGATTGTGGTCCGACAGTGACAGATGATTCGAGGTCCGCTGATCGTGCCTTCAGAATCTCTGTATGTTATCATATCAGGTTTAGTAAATAATTATATTTTTGTAAGCAATTATGGCAAAGTTTTTCATTTTGATTTGGAATTTTCTTTTTAAATTTCTGTGGGGAAGGGACTCGGGTGGGCTTGGGTACAGGGAAATCTAATCAAAAACGGGGCATTTAAACCAATGTATGCAAAGGCCCGGTTCTGAGAGCAAACATAAGTTTTGAGGGGCAAGGCGGGAAACATGCCGACTTCAAAGAGGGGATATTAAATAACAAGACACTTGAATACACCATGTGGGACATATCCAATGAGCCGTGCCCACTAACCGTGTGGACCATGATCTTTTTCCAGCCGCACGTTCCGTATGCGTGCGTCGCAAGGGCTTGCACACATTTACGAGACTACTGTGCACGCATGCTCGATGTAATTCATGAACGTGATTGGTTAGAGTTCTCTGGCGCTGGACTTGTCAGTTTCTCTGCCGTTGGAATACTACAGCAGATCTCACAAACATCTTCGCTGGTACATTTCAATTGCACATTTTAGTTCGCGCACGTGCAGCAGATTTGTCCTCCACGGGACGTCGTTGATGGAGTGTAGAAAAGTTTAGCAAAATCAGACTTTCTATCTTTTAAATCCATCCATTTTTGTTCCACATGACATTACTGATTAACAAAACTTCGTACTTTCCAACATGTACCGTCAGGTGTCATTCAGAAGTGAGCACACCAACGTATCACAAAGTAAAACAATGAACAAAAGACCCATGTATGTTCACCCCTTCCATTTATTTTGTGCGCATGCGCTAATAATCGGCAAAGTCGTGGTTCGATCATTCGCTCATTCTCTTTCCAGATATGAATGGGCTTATCATTTTGGTCAGCAAACTTTCAGATTTGAGGGTCAGTAATTTTAAATTTTAAGTCTTGAATTCGGGAGAGACTGGGTAATATCAGGTAGAAAGTGAAACAGGGATAGAGGGAGCTCCAATGCTAGGTTATTCGCTTGTAACCAACGCCCCAAGCGCGCCGGAACCTTGGGATGTTTCCTGGGGTCTCACTGGGTAGATTTAATTTACCCAGGTGACCTGGGGGCAACAATATTGCGTGTGCGCACAATATACGCGGGCATTGATCATGATAGTAAGTTACCTACAACACTTTGCATCATGCGTCATCCACTTTCCTCGCAGAATTTGATGGGAATGAATATTAATACCGGAAGCCAGTGGGTTTTACGTGGGGGCGGCGAGTACGAGTGAATAGACCGTATTAGCAGGGGACCAAATTTTAGTCAGATTCCCCTACGTAGTGTATTCATTTGAAAACGTTATTTTTATAGAACCAGACTCTCTTCTACGATTTCATTCCAACCTGCCAAAATCACCTGGTACCATCCCATTAAGGTTTAAATGGATACAAGACGTTCAGGAATACGTCTGAAATTGGGTCTCCCGCGAATACGGTCTTTTTCAAGGGCAACGGGATGAGCCTGCAATAAGGGTAAAGTGAGGAGAAACAGTGGGAAACGTTGAGGCGCTCGGTGACGGCAAACATACCTGGCCTTTTTATTTTTCACTTGTTCTCGTCACAAATTTATTTTGAGCTAATGTGTGCATGTTCAAATTAATGCAACCAAAACCGGACTACTCACGTGGGACAGGTGCGTTTGCCACCACTGGGCGCCTCAAAAAGCTCGCAATTGCAGGTGAAATGGGTAGCAAGTAAAAAAAGGTCAGCAGAGGGAACAGTACAACTTGCATGGCTAGGGCGATACTGGGGCTGTAAGGGGGAATATAGGGACAGGATCTCGAGCGAGATAGAGTCGATCAGGTCCATGACAAAACAGCATGGGGATCCACAAGCAAAGAAAAGGAAAGTCGAGGTCTTACTCAGGTGTTTCGAACTTTGCATCAAAGCAAGGCTGCCAATGATGTTCGAACACAGCCATTCTACGAACAAAAAACAAAAACGAAAGAATTAAATCACAACATACACAAACTTGGGATTTGTCAGAGGGCGCTATAATAGTGAAAAGACTTGGCTTAAAAAAGTGATTTTCTAAAAACGAAATTGGTATAAAAACGTTCGTTGGTTGCCACCTCAACGGGTTTTCATTGAACTGACTCTGATAACAAAGTGCCGCATGGGGGGGGGGTTATGACGGTAATTTACAGATTAAAAAAATACTCAATTTCGGAAAAAACACCTTTTGTCCCCCAGGACCTCCAAAAATACCAAAATACCCCATGAAATCTCTAAGGCTCACTGCATTAAGTCTTTCTTTCAACAATCTCTTCATCAAAACTTCTGTGTGATCACGTTTAGATTTAAAATGCCTTTTTCTTTAAACATTTGATTTTAACACCTTAAACATACAAAGCGTCTTTGCATATCAAATCGTTAATGCGATTGGAAATAATTTCCTATCTTGTTTATACCTTATCTAAACCTTAACAAGAAGAAAGCGACAGTCAATGGCATTGCTGCTGGTTGTTTATGAAGAAAATACCCATCTGAATAATCGATGATTCTGTTATACAGTAATTTGGTCTTTGCTAGTCAAGTTGCAGCCTTGGTACTAAGATATGGAGGAAAATTGGCAGGAAGTCATCCGTAAACAGCATCGGCTGTTGTCATGGAGGCCCGACTGACACGCCGAGTATTTTCTGCTCGATCCACGGGAGGGGAATTCTGGTTGCCACAGCAACTGGGTCATCAGCCTCGTGGAGAAATTACACAGCAGAAAAAGGGGGGGGGGAGGGGGAGATGGTACCTTTCCACTCGGTTCAAGATACATTCAGATGATTTGAGGAGTTTCGACACGATGCCTACACGAGACATTTGCCCCATTTTATGCCTTAACCATCCTGGGCACTTCTCGCTTAAAGAGTTCTCAATCACATCTTATGCAGTAGTAGAGTAAATAAAATATTAACTGATACCAAAGTCAATTTAAACATCCTATGACTTAGAACAAAATGTCTAAGACTTAGAAACCTGTTGAAAGCAATGAATCGACCTTACACGTTGTTCATGCTAAGGCCATTTAGATTATCTTCTGGTCAGTGTTGTACTTCCATCAACCAAACCACTTGCCACTGTGATTTGACTCCCATGTAAATTTTATAAACATGACAAGCAAGACATGGAGTTTCATTAAAAAAAGACTAAGTTCAGATTTTTACCACAGACCTCGACAGGGCCTGCTTACAAAGCTGGTGCTTATCTCCGCACAGAGCAGCTGCTTCAGGGATGAGAGGTTATGAAAAGGTACATACGCAAGAATCGTATCCCTTCGTCGTTCATTGGCTGGCAGACATTTCAGCATGGTTTGGATGTGAGCCAAGTTAAGTCAAGATGCACATTTCTCACAAGGAGCAAAGCGTACTGAACTGTGTTGCTGCCAGAAGGATTATCAAGCTCTATTCGATCGGGTGATCAGCCATTTATATCTACATATACCGTTATTGTCTGCCACGTACTTTAACCAGCCTTCTTAAATCATTGATGAAATAATGAACCGATGGTTTATGGTAGTTTGGTGACTGCGTCTGTTACCTTCAGGTCAAGGGACGTGACTGGTACCCTGTCATTTTAAATCTCCCCAACTTGCAAGACATAAGCACAAACTATGTGACGAGACATCACTGTACCTCAGGACAGCCCAAGTGATAGGGGGAGCGCTATACAAGGTTTGTACCAAATATCTGGCCCTTGACGGGTTTTTTTTAAACACTTTTCGGCACAATGCTTCCGTAACTGCCACTTCTATGGTCTTTTTGCTGGAGCGTAAAACGACTGGTCGATCACATGACTGGATTTATTAAAGTAACGTTAGATGAAACCTGTACGGGTTGGTACATAGAGTTATGACCATTTTTTTTTATATATATCAAAGACAGGCTGTGAACCATTGGGGAAGTCAAATAAACAAGCGTGAAGGGGGGGGACGCCCTCTATTCTGTGGTGAAGCTGCATTTTGAACTACATTCATTGTGATTTAGCTGTTCCACAGATGCCACTTGAAACGTCCTGGCGGTACATAGCAGGCATCTCTGCCTGTGTCTATGTTGTACACAGCACGCAGGGTGACTGCCTTGATGGGCCTCATATCAGAGCTTATCTGCCCACATCTTGCCTGCTCAAGTTATCTCGAGAGCCATCTGCTTTACGTCAATAACATTTAAATTAATGGAATAAAGTCGCATGTTCTCATAATATGATATTCAGACCCCCACAACAAACCGGATAAATGCCTGGGAAGCTGACAAACAGCTTCAAACTCAGGCGAAAGCAGAAAAGACTATGCAAATCACAACCCACACATATATATATATACATGTATATATATATTTATCTACTTTACCAGTTCCACGGACCTTGAACGATAAGACAGTGTATGGCATGGGGAAGAAAAACGCATGTGAAATTTGGCCGATCGCGCACAACAGGGATGGCCTTATTAGATGTCACGTCACGTCGTTCCGTGATGATTTCTTCATATTGAATTTTTGGCAGTCTCCCAGCAACGGAAATCGGGAATTTATTGGACGCGGTGCCTTTTCTTCTCCAGAATGGTTAGTCACGTCTTGTCTATGAATGGTTGTCATTATCTTTTACGCATAGCTGAATATTTGTTACCTCAAATGTTAGATGCAAAATGCAATTTGTCTGGACGATGTTTCAAGCTATTTTTTTCGAAATTTCCTTTTTTTGACTGTGGGATGGAAAAAATAGATGAATTTGGTGGAAACTAAACAAGATATGTGTTTGAAGTAGATCCCTCCGAGAAAATGAGGTCTTTATGAACTCTGCCTCCCACTTTCCCCATGCCATCAAATACAACAATCTGTGTGCGGTTTAAGCAAAGCAGAGGAAAGTAACACGACACATCACGACGAGACGAGACGCGAACCATACCGAAAATTGTGTCGCAAGGGGTGCCTCGTTACAGCCCCACTCGCGATATTTAACCAGTATTACTCTCTATAATGACATGTCACAAGCTCAGTGAGGCAACCAAGATATGACAGCAGATACTCGTGTCGTGTGACGAGCGAGCGATCGCAAGAAAATGACAGTGCCTATCGAGTCAAGTGCTCCCTGACATCCCTTGTACGTTAAGGTCGAGAGTATAAGAGCGTGAGTCGCCGTAGATAACGATCACCACTGTCTCCAGTATACACGTGGTTTCGATCCAAAAAGTCAGCAGCCTTCCGGGCAGGCAAGACATGCAATAGTCGTTCAGAGTTGCAAATTGACGTTTACGCCGATTCCACAACGGCTATTTGTTTGTAAAGTCATTTTACTTCAAACGTCAGGCCTACTGCTAAGACAAAGACAAAAGGGGTAAGACAAATGTGAGAAGATAAAATGTAAGGATGCCTAACAAAAGGATTAAAAATACTTGGAAGGACACGCTAACAATAGAATGGGTAAAGTTGAATGACAGCTTGTTTTAGATTAGGCATTGCAGTAAACAAGACCTTCCTGAAAACATTGATCCCCTTGTACCAGGATTGTTTCAAATGGACACTCGCTCGATCGAGAGTCACAGAGCAGAACTACACGTAGTGCAGAACTGAAAACGTAGCCTCAATAGCATTCATGTCTTTTATCAATGATTAAACGTCGATAAAAACTACATTTTTTGCTATAACTTCATTAAGTTGTCAAAGTGTGGCCGCAATGAATTTTTCTTTCGACACAAAAGCTGCATCTTTTTACTTTTGTTCAATTCATGAAAGCTCTTACACTCGCCTATTTGGTTAAATGCACTGAAATGTGCACACTTTTAAACAATCAAATTACCCATGTTTTCCTGGACAACTGAGGGCGCTGTGGCTGTAAAGTCATCTAAGGAAGACATGGTTCAGTGCATAGGTATTTCTATTGAAATGGCAAACCCAGAATTTACTAACTACAAACATTTTTGAGAGAGGGATTGATGATTTTTACTGCTATGCACACAAACACCAATGAATCAGCAAAGAAGGAAAAAAATTAGTCCAGGGAAATCTACAAAAACGCAGGACTTCTTTTGTGTACAAACTAATGTAATATTGAAATACTCATTAGCATAAATAACCAAAAAAGCATTAAAATACCCTTTGAAATTGTGAAACCAAAGTTGAAAATAAGGTTTAATGTGGCACAAAGGTGCATTTTACATGTTTGTAATAAAAACCATTGATTGCAGCTACCCTTTACAGACCAAGTAGGCCTATGCTTTGCCATGCCAAGAGACAACAGATCGAGTGACAAGGGGTCTGGTTTTGTCTTGGCTATGCTCTTTTGTTTTAAGGCTTCATTTCTCTTGCACGACGGCCCTGAATGTCACTATCAATAATGCACAACATCCATCAGCCAAGAGAAAAAAAATCTCTTCAATTTTTAACATTATGCTAAGCGGCATTGCACACTCCAAGTCATCACGCCACTTGAGTCTGGAGCCGAACCCCCGAGGGTTTTCCGTGATAGCATTATGTAATGTGGAGTCCAGGTACAATCCCATTCCCTGCGATGTTATCCATACACCTTCGTCTCATTTTGCCTTCATAATCACAGCGATCAATCTGACAGTTGCCAAGCACAACCCGTGTCTTTCAATCCACCACAAAAAACCCAGGATGTTGTGTTGAATGTCGTGTCATATTAGTGCTGCACAGTGAATGCTACCTCTTTTCATTGCTAAAAAGATCATATCCACAAAAGGCCTTGACGAAAAACAAGACGGCCGTTACATGTCGCAAAATGCTTGATTATTGGTGAACTTTTACTATCATTAATAAAAAAGTCTTGCTTGAACAGTTTTGTAGTCTAGTGATCTACTTGTGACTTTTGATCGGGTATTAAACTAAACAACCATAATGAAAGCAAAATTGAGTCATTTGGTTTCCAAATGTCAGCTACAACATGCTTTCAGAATGTGACAATACATGTTTGAATT